GGGGCGGGCGGCGGAGTCCTGGATGTGCGGGAGCCGGGCTTCGGGGTCGCTGCCGTTGGGCTGCAGGGTGGCGATGCCCCCAGGGCCCAGGATGCTGGCACGCCGGCTTTTCTCTGGGGGGGAGCACGGTAAAGAGGGGGAAGCCAGCAGGGCAGGGACCACCTCACAAGCCCTCCCATGCCCCTCAACCCAACAGCTCGCTCCACACCAGGGTCAGATACACACATGCAGTGTGGGGTCAGGCGCATGCAGAGCCTGCCCTGCAGCCCCCTCCCCAGCACACAGGCACCCCCATTACCCCGCTTCAGGCTCCGGATGACAAACTTCTGCACAGCGCCTACTGCAAGGGAGATGGAGATGGGTGAGCATAGGAGAGAGGCCCAGCAGTATCACTGCCCTTGCTGAAATTGCATGCCTGAGGACCCCCTCCCCATGCCCCCTTCCGTGCCAAGAATGCAAAAGCCACAACAGGGTGCCCACAGAAGGGGGATGCAGTCCAAAGTTGGGTCTCTCTGTCCCTTCCCCCAGCCTGGTACCTCTGTCCCCATCAGGGCGCCCTGGGGACTTGGCGCGTGCCCTGCGCTCGGAGGTGGGGGGCTCCTGGCTGGGGGGGGCCCAGCTCTGGCTGGTGGCACGGCTCCCCTTGAAGAAGAGGTTGACGAGGGTCTTGGAGCGGTGCAGCCCTGGGGGGGCACCCCGTGCCTCTTGTCCCTCTGGCTTCTCCTTCTTCCGCTTCTCCTCTGGGGAGAGAGAGGGAGGTTTTGAGGGGAGAGATGAAGGGATGCCACCACAAATGGTGTCTGGGGGTGGGAAACTTGTGTGGGTCAGAGGAGCTACTGAGGGGCACTGACTAGAAGAGCCCTGCTGTGTGATGCAGGGGGTGTCCAGCAGCCATGAGGTTAGGCTTTGGGGTACCTGGCAAGCCCCAGAGACAAGGCTGGGCCTATGAAGGTCTATAAGATGCCCAGTGCTGGTGGTCAGGACTCCATATATGTGGGGGGGGCTATAGGATGCCAGGGTAGGGACTTGGTTATAGACACCCAGGAGCAGAGGCCAGGTGTCCCTGTGCGTCAGTGGCTATAGGATGCTCAAGCTGGAGACAGGCTCCATGTGGGTCAGGGGCTGAGCTGTGTGACTCCCAGGGCTGGGGGTGCAGGGTTGGAGAGGGCCCCCAGCCAGGAGTGAGTCCCACATGTGGGGTCGTGCCTCAGTGCCTACCAGCAACAGTGAGGTCACTCTGGGAGCGCGTGATGGGCTGCCGGGGCCGGCTCAGGGCGAGCAGCAGTGCTGTCTTGGGCGAGTGGGTGAAGGTCCGGCGTGGGTGGGTGCCAGGGGGTTCCCGGGCACCCTGGCCCCGGATGGCCGTGTCCCGCAGCAGCTCTGGAGGCCGCACTGTGCGCCGCATCTCTGGCAGCCCCTCAGTAGCTGGCTCGGTCTGCATGGCCCGCTCGGCACGTTCCCGTGCCCAGCCCCGCCGTGGGCCATCCTCTGTGGAGATGGCCACATCCACGGTGCGGATGGGGGGCCCTGGGGTGGCTGCCCCCAGCCCGTTCACCACCCCTGGTGCTGGCCCCGAGGAGTAGGAGGAGATGGAAGAGCTGGTCTCTGAGGCTTGAGACAGCTGCTGCAGCTGCCCGTTGGTCACTGCAAAGGCACAGTGGGGACATGGGGTGAAACACCGTGGGGCTACAGAGAGCTTTGCATAACCCCCTGAGGACAAGGGATATGTGGGGACCTATAGGGTCAAGGGGACTGCAAGGCTGCTGGAGCTGTGTCCCCTACAAGGGACGTACGGGGTCCCACAGAATCGTGGGGACCAGCATGCTGCTGGCCATTGCATAGGGATCTTCATATCCCTCCAGAGGTGGTGGAAATGTGGGAGGGACCCAACAAGCCCATGAAGACTGTGGGGTTGCTAACAGTGCTGCAGGGTGCTTCATGCCCCCTCAAAGACCATAGGACCCTGTGGCATGTGGGCCTTCCTTCTCCCCATGGTGGTCAGATGCTGCTTGCATGGAGGTCCCAGCCACCCCTGTGCCCCAGCCCAGCGTCCCTGCCAGCACCCGCGCGGCACTGCCCTTACAGCGACTGAGCCAGCAATATTCGGCCACCATCTCCTTGTAGGCTGGGAACCGGCCCGTCTCCTAGGGACAGGGGGAGAGGACGAGGGGGTCAGCATGCACCAGCCACCCCAGGCGAACCTGATCCAGTGCCAGCCATGAATAATGCATCCCCCTCACCCTCCCACCTGCCTGAAACCCAACCAGCCGGCAGCCGCACCAGCCCCACAGGTGCCAGGCTGAGCTGGGGCAGCGCCAGTGTGGGGACACACCAACCCCCCACCTCGCCCTGGGATCCCGTGGGATCGGGTGCTGGTACCTTGATGGTTAGCATGATGTGGGTCTGCCCCTTGAGCACTTCCACTGCCTTGCTATGGCTTATGTCTTCAAACTTGACTCCATTGGCTGCAAGGACTTGGTCTCCCACCCGAATGCCATTCTGCTCCGCCAGCCCCCCAGGGTCCACTCTAGGGCAGCAGAGAGGGGGCAGGATGGGGCTAAGCCCTCATGGAACCCTGCTCCTGCCCCAAAGCAGGGTGGCCCCGTGCCCCAGCACCCACAGTGGTGATGGCCACAGTCTTTTGAGGATGAGAGACTCAGCCAGGATGGGGGTGCCGAGCCCCAGAGTGGGAATAGAGTGTATTGGAGACGCTGTGTTTCCCTCATACCCCCCGAGGTGGTCGTACTTGGAGACGTAGATGCCGAGGCCGAACTCCCTGCCGCCACGGATGTTGAAGCCCAGGCAGTAGTCGTCAGAGGTGGTGTAGAGGTGGACAATGCGCCGCAGCCCATCCTCAGAGCCGCTCTCCGACGGTGTTGAGCCGCTTTTCTCCACCACCAGGCGCCTGTTCACCACGTCCACCCTGGAACACGGGCACAGTCTTGGGGGCGGGAAGATCAGGGGTCTAGCTCTCATCCTCCAGCAGGATGGGGCCATTGGTGTTAGCAGAGAAGAGGGATGGAGGATATTGAGGATGGAGCTTGCAATCATCTGTCTTGCCCCAGACCTTCCTTTCCCATCCTGTGCCCCACCCTGTCCTCTCCTCACCTTTGGAGACCTCTGATGCCCACCCCCAACCCTTGGGGTCTCCCAGCTCTGGGATCCCAGCTGATTTGCCAGCATTCCCCACTGAACCTCCCCACCATGCCCTTCATGGAGTTCAGCTTCAGGGTGCTGGCACAGTGGATGCCCTGCTCACCATGCTGTCTTCTCCTTGGAGAACTTGATGCCTGGCACACGGCCCATCCGCCGGACCACCATGCGGAGGCGGTTGTTGCCAGTGAGGACCTTGACAGCACTGCTCATGGTGATGTTCTCCAGGCTCACGCTGTTCACCTCTGTGATCTTGTCACCAACACACAGCCCAGCCTGCTCTGCGAGGGGCACATGGATCGGCTGGACACCTCACCTGCCACCGGTGCCCTAGTTAGGTGTTCCCTCCCTAAATGTGTCCCAAACTTGATCAGAGCCCCATGGAAACAAAGGTAAGGATGCCTGGCAATTGCACTGAGGCTGTGACATGCATGGGGGCTTGTCACCACGCTGTGGCTTAGGGATGAAGCTCAGAGCCAGGGTTGTCCACACACCTGTTCCCTGCCCTTCTCTGTGAAAAGCCTGAAAACCCCATGGCCAGAGGTGTCAGGGAGCAAATGGCAGCTTGCTACCATGAAGGTGGCATGTCTCTGTGGCACTGTGTGCTTCCTGAGAGGGTCTTGCTGGCATGTGTCTGACCACAGTGGTGTCCCTCAGCCTGTCTCACTTACCAGCAGCACTGCCCTCCTCCACTTTGCTGACAAAGATGCCCAGCCCATGCTCGGAGCCACCACGGACGCTGAAGCCCAGCTTGCCATCCATGCTCTTCTCCACCGTGATGGCATTGATAACGTCGCTCTCATTGCTGCTGGCTGTGGGGATGGGGGACAGGACGTGTGACCTAGGCTGGGTGCAAGCAATGGTGGGGTGGTGTCTCTCTTTCTGGGAATGTCCCCAGTCCCAGGACTCCCTGCCGCCAGACCCAAGGAACCCAGGCATCCAGGCCCACCCCCCTGGCCATGCGGGTGGGCAGAGGACTGGGATACCCCACGCACCTTCGATGGGGGTGTTGATGAGGATGACACGGCCCATGGGGGAGGTGGCGCGGCTGGCCTGGGTGGTCCCGTTGAGCAGGCGGTTCTGCTTGCTGAGGAGGAAGCGAGGGGCCAGGCTGACCTCGCTGCTGGTGCTCCATGACCGGCTGCCTGCTGTCATCCCTGACAGCTCCGTGTCCCAGCCCTGGGCCATGGTGGCGCTGGGCACCCCGGCGTCCTGGCGTCCGGCTTGGTGCTGGCTGTGTCCTCACGGGGCCAGGGCTGCCCACCGGCCAGGGGGGGACATGGCATAGTCCAGCAGCACATGCCCAGGCTCGGGCACCCGCTCCCTCTCAGCAGCGCGATGCCGGGACCAGCTGGCGTGGGTGCTCAGTACCAGCAGGACAAGTCCTGGGGGCCGAGGC